GTAGTAGTAGTAGTAGTAGTAGTAGTAGTAGTAGTAGTAGTAGTAGTGGTGGTGGTGGTAATCCCAAGTAACCTGCACCATAGTATGTACTTGATAAATGTTTGATAAATGTTTGTTTTTGATTGGTTGGTTTATTGTTATTACTACCAAGCTGTAGTCCTTAAGTACTTTAGATAAATCACCTTATTTGGTCCTTACAATTACATAAGTTAGGTAGTACAAGTATCATGCCTCTATTTTAAAGATGAAGAAACTAAGGTTCAGAGAGGCTCAAGGTCACATAGTGTCAGAGTCAGGATTCAAATCCAAGTTTCCTAATTCTACAAATTCAGCATTCTGTGTATTCCACTCTACTACTCATACACCAGTGTGCCCCCTCCTGGCCACCAGTCCCCACCAAGTGTTGTCTTACCTAATTAGGATGTAACATTGCATATACACATGATTCTAAATTGAAGTGAAGCAAAGCATAAATGCTACACATATTTATTTCCTTTTTTGAGCAGTTTTCTGATTAAGAAAGGTCAATGTCGTAGATCTTCTCTTTAGCAGTTCTTTGGATATCTATACACATTGTGTACAGATTTCCTACTAAGTGAAGCCAACTATATTTGGTTTTCTCACAGATCCAATAACTTCTACTTGGCAATGTTGCTGTTCATGCTGTTTCTGTGCATGCTGCCGACAATCTTTGCTATTGCCCGTTATAAGCCATCTTTAAACTGTGGTCCCTTCAGGTGAGTGATCTCTTCATTAAAGTCTTGCTTTTGTTTGGAAATTAAAGCCAGTTTAAGAAAAATTGGACTGTCTGCCAGGTGTGCCTCTCATAGAATGTTAATGATCCAATTCCCCTCAATTCATATAACCTAAAAGTAATAAAGGAGGGAGGGAGGGAGAGAGAGAAAGAGGGAGAGAGAGAGAGAGAGAAATGAAGACAGGGACACAGACACAGAGATGTAGACAAAGATGGAGGGAGTCAGGGAGGGAAGGCGGTAGAGAAGGAGAGAGGAAAAATACTTAGAAACCAAAATTCAATTTTCGTGCTGATTCCTCTTTATGATGAATCAGCTGATTTTGATAACTTATTTTTGAAATAAGACTCTAAAGTTTGTTGCTTTGCATACATCTTCCCATTTGAAATTCAAAACCACTCTATGAAGTAGTTACTACAGTGTAGAGAAGTTAAATGATTTGTCCACGGCTATATAGTTAGTGTTAGCACTGGGATTTGAATTGAAATTTTCCAGATTCTAAGGCCAGCACTCTACCCACCTTTGCAAAGTCAAAGGCATTTTGTGAGTTTGAAACAATGAGCTGACTTCCATATGACTCCACTCTGCTGCTGAAGAGGTTAGGGTATAGTATGGGATGGGGAAGGGGGGGGAGGGAGGAGAGGAATGAATTGTATGTGTTGATTTGTTTTTCATTTCCAAATTATATGCATGATGCTATGATTCATAACTTCAATAAAAATTAGATAGCCATTAACTAAAATCCAGATATAATTGGCGGGAACTCAAATTAGCATTTATTAGTATTTAGTGAAAGATAATCAAGTGCAAGATAATCATAGAAGGACAGATTAACACAATGAATAGGGAGCATCCTCAGAGAAATGAAGATATGGGTTCAAGTTCCATCTCTGATATGTTCTATCTGTGTGACCCTGAACTAGCCACTTAACTAGTAACTGGCCCTAGACAATTCTACTCAGTCAATGAATCTTATTAAATACTTACTATGTCAGCCACTATATGTGTCAGTCACTGTGCTGTGTCCCAATTTTAAAAAAAAGCACTACATGACTTGCTTATGTTTCTCTCTACCACCCCACCCCACCCCACCCCAAGATGTATTCAAACATCATAATTAAGAACACTCTAATAAAGGGACTGAAGCCTGCAGGATAAAATAGAAAATACCTGATTGCTATCTTTAAATACTTCCAGGGCTGCTATGTAGAAGAAAGTGTAGATTTACTTTATGTTGCCCTGCAACACAGAACTAGGACCAATGAGTAGGAGTTATAAGGAGCAGGTTTTTGTCCAAAACATTGTTAGGAGGATTCCTAGTACTCAGTACTAGTATTGAAAAGTTGGGCTACAAGTTACCTGCAAAGTTTCTTCCAACTCTGTGAGTCTGGTTTTTTCAAGTCCTGATTGTCTCAATTGGCTTCAAGAGTTGTATTCCTGCTTGGGCCTAGGGCTTGTTTGTTTAACCAGTAGCAATATAACTTGTTTTTGGTTTCTTTGTTTTTCCCCTCTCTCAGCGGGCAAGAGAAGATCTATGATATTGTGTCTGAAACTATTAAGAATGATTTTCCCTTGTGGTTCAACTCAGTGATTGGCTATGTTAGCAGCCCAATTGTCATTCTTCCTGCTTTGCTTCTTCTCTTGTAAGTATGATACTTGCAAATCTATTACAATGTTGTTTCATAGTACTGATTTAATCAGGTTCACAAAAATACCCAATGCTCTTTAACCTTGGATCTAACTGGTTGATTCCTGTAATATCCCCTTACTTTATCTTTTATTTTCATCTTTCACCTCAAGGCTTTAACATATACCCATTGGCTATTTTACTGATTACTATGTGGCATTGAAGAAAGTCATTTTATCTCTTAGGCCTATAGTTTGCTTGTCTGTAAAACAAAGGTATTTGACTGGATAATCTCTAGGTCATTTCTAGCTCTAAATTCATATAAATACTGATTACATTCTTAGCTATGGCTGGGATTCTGGAACTTATCTCCTAAATCACTAAAATAAGTAATGCAATCATAAACAATTCCCATGCGACCAGTATCAGTGTCTCAGAAAATCAGACTCTAGTGTTTGTCCTCACTTTTCCTACACACAGAGCCATATATTCAGTTAGGGTAGGGAAAGGGAAAGGATGAACGCAGAGGTCAGATTCAGGTAGGTACAATTGTTCTAGGAGAAGGAATGCCCTATTACCCAGAGGTCCTGTCCTTGGCCTCCAGCCCTCATGACATGGCTGACAATCATTAACCTCCCAGTTCCAGAGGGGAGGCAGAGGCAGGGACAAGCACCAGATGGAGTAAAGGCAGTAGGCAAAAGGCAGATCTCTAAGGAGTTCTGGGCAAAGGAACAGTCCTGTTGTGGGATTTTGAAAGGACATGAGGTGAGGAGACATAGATCCTTGATAACAATGGAGAGGAATTGTGCCTTGACCTACCTGAGATATCAATACCCTTGAAAAATTTCTAGACCACTTTACTATGGTGACTTTGTCCTTTCTGACTCCACATGAGACCTTCCAGAAACTCAGCTCATCTTTTAAAAGTGTGTATAATGTTTTCCACAACCAATTGTATGTTTATACCTTGTTCTCTTATAGCATGCTGATCTATTACCTTCAGAGTATTGCAAGATCACTGAAGTTCACCAACAGTCAGCTGAGAATGCAAATTCAAAGTGCAAGTATTAATTGAAATTAGCTATTCTGTGATTTTATTTTTTCCTATTGATCCTAGATCCCAACAAAATTTCAAAGCGATATTATTTTAGAAGTTTATAGAATATGTGATATTTCTTGCTGAAGTTTATTATTTATCTTCATTTCACTAAAAAACTCATCACTCGGCTATTCTAAAGGAACTACCTATACTTAGCTGTTCTGGTCATTGGGAAGTAGTCTATTGGCAGGACTATATTTGAAGATCTACCTGCTTGGTAGAATCTGCTAAGATTTGTGTTCTGCTGATAGACTCCGAAGTCTTCTCCATGCTATGATGATGCTTTGGAGAGATATTGGAAGACAAAGGACCTGGATTAGTACCCTGGCTCTGATATTTACTGCTTCTTTGACTTTGGGCAAGTCACTTCATGTCTTAGGACTCAATTTCCTCACCTGCAAAGCAAGGGAGTTAGACAAGATGGTCTCCAAGGCTCTTTCTAGCTCTAAATCCAGACAGAGGTCAGATTTATCTGGCGTGTTGTGGTTGTTGCTGTTGTTTAGTCATTTTTCAGTTGTGTCTGACTCTTTATGACCCCATTTGGGGTTTTCTTGGCAAAGATGAAGTGGTTTGCCATTTCCTTCTCCAGCTCATTTTACAAATGAGGAAACTGAGGCAAACAAGGTTAAGTGATTTGCCCAGGGTTACACTGCTAGTAAGTGTCTGAGGCCAGATTTGAACTCAGGAAGATGAGTCTTCCTGAATCCAGGTTGGGAATTCTATCCACTGGTCTACCTAACTGCCTTTATCTGGCAAAACATATGATTAATATTATCTCTAAGCTTGCCATCAAATAATTTCTTGTTATAATGATGCTGATGATGGGTATATAAAACATTTTTTCACCTAAAAAGGATATAATATTATCATTGTCATTTTTTATCATTCAAGGTGGGTGGGTGTGTTGGTTGTGTTTGTGAGGGGTGGTGTCCTTCTTAGAAATGTGAACTGCAAGTTGGGTATACTACCATCAGGTGACAGCATTGTTTTGACCTTAGTTCACCGGTTAATCCATAGTTTCAGGGATACAAAAAGGCATTTTTGTACTGATAGAGCTTCAAATATCTAGATATAGGTATATGTATATTCATTCATTCATCCATTCATTCATTTGTCTATTTAATTAATTATTTCTGAGGCACACTCAAAGGCAAGGGAAGAAAATCTTCCTTTTCTCTTTTCCCAACAATGTTCCTGGCTAGCCAACCATGAATTAGCTTCAGACCAGACAGTCATAGTTTTAATTGGTTGTCCAGCTAGGGCTGTCCATAGCTGTCCTAAATGCTGATTGATAGCTTAGCTGAGCAGTGAAAGGAAACAATGAAGTTCTGAAGGAGGTTATATATAGCCCTTCTTCTTTCTCTCTGCTCCATTGCTTCAACAAAAGAAGATGCCAGGATTCAATGTATCCACTGCTGCTCTGGAAACACAAATACAACTGGAAACTAAAGGAATCCTCATGCTGCTACTTAATATCTTCCTTGCCAGAGCCTAATTAGGAAAACATTTTCACTAAATGTAAAAATAGTTTGTAGGGACACAATGTGACATGAACATCAATGGCATAAAGTCATAGTCTGACCATACGTACACTCAGGCAGCAGGAGAAGGTTGTCTGCACTTGATGGGGGAAGAGGATTGTGGGTATGCTTGGGGGAAAGGCAGACTTTGGAAAAAGGACAAGAAGGCTATGGTAATAGGACCATGGTGGTAGTGGTGATGGTGTTGGTGGTCCTAGGATAGTTGTTGATGTGTGGATAAAAGGGTTACTGCAACCTTCCTTTTGGGAAAGAATGGGGGGTGGGGCAAGATTTTTGAGGCAAAGCTCTGCTTACACCCATTCTAGTGAAGGTTCTGCACTTTAACACTGCATAAATAACTGGGGGGAGGGAGGAATGGAATGTAATCAAGTAGGGTTGGGAACTAAATGTCCCCAATGGGCCAATGTCCCCTAAATACCCCAATGTGGTTACATCACCATATGGGTACATAAATCTTTAATCTCTAACAATCTCACCTTTTTATTGTTTAAAGTTTAATCCATATCAAAATTGCAAATAATTCTCATGTATATTTTAGGATAGATCTGAAGACAAGAAAAAAGTTGCCCAAATGATAGGAGGTAAGTGGAAAATGTAAACCAAACACTCGAAGAATGGATGTCTTACTTCAGGCCTGCAAAACATTCGGCCCACATGCTGCCTGTGGTCCACCAAAGGATTTCAGGCAGCCAGTGAAAAATGTGGAGGATGTAAAACAATCCTGCACAACGTACCGCCACAGGCTGCTTTGGTGGGTCACAAGTGGTCTGCAGGCTGTATGTTGTGCAGGCCTGTCTTATTTAGTGCAATGTATTTAAAAAAAAAAACAGGATAGGAACATTGAAGTCAGTGTGGGAAAAGTGATCTCATCCATATTTACCTCCTTACCAATTATTCTCAGCTACATGTTTGTTGTTGAAAATGGAGAAAATAAACCAAATACAGTGACCACAAATTAGTTTAGGTACAAGGTCCAATTAATAGCATAAAAAGTCTGAAGTGTCAGTCATATAGAATAAGGGAAAGACTTGGATTTGAGTCTGATCTGCATATGGCCTTGGGAAAGTAAGTCTCAAACTCCCTCAGCCTCGGTCTTCTCATTTGTAAAATGTAAATGTGAATAACTTCCCTACCTATCTTATAGAGTTGTTAACAATATTAAAATGAGATAATGTATATAAAATTCTTTATACTCATAATGTGATGTATTTTGTTGCTATCCAATCTGTTGCAGCTGGGTCTGACTCTTCGTGACCCCATTTGAGTTTTTCTTGGCAATGACTATGGAGGTTTACCAATTCCTTCTCCAGCTCATTTTACAGATGAGGAACTGAGGCAAACAGGGTTAAGTGACTTGCCCAGGGTCATACTTTTAGTGTCAGGCCAGATTTGAACTCTTCCTGACTCCAAAACTGGAACACTATCCACTGCGCCACCTAGAGGCCCAAAGTGCTATTTACATTAGTTAAAAATGAAGGAATGAATGTGTGCGTGCATAGCCAAAATATCCTTCCAAGCTAAAACAGGAAGATAGTGATGTAGAGAAGAATATGGACAGATTCTAGAGAGAGAAAATGTGCAATTTCCAGAGAATGAACCTGGAATAAATAGAAAGCCTCCCCAAAAGTTGAATGGATGTTGATGTTACTTTGCCCCATCTCTCTACTCCATGGAATTATCAATTTTTGCCAGAATTACCCATCTTGCTTCTTTGCATTGACACAACAGAGCCTCAGTTCAAGTCCTCTGTTTTTTTCCCCCATGATCTACCTGTCCTACCCACTTCCCAACATACATACTTATCATTCTTCTCTAGCACCTATTGAGAATTGAAACCAATCCAGTTGACTTACTGGGCAGGCTTAATCTTGGAACCTGACTTTGTTGTAAGAAATTATAAATGAGAAACAAACTATAGCATTTCCAATATACTCTATGTAACCATATTCTCTGTCAAAGAATAAGAGCATAATTTTATTTATATAAAGAACCATTTGAAAGTTCACAAAGCACTTTCCTTCCCAATAATCCTGGAAGGTAAGCAATGAAATTCTTACGAAATTTCTCTAAGGTAATTAGGTGGTGCAGTGCATACAGCCCTGATCCTTGAATAAGGAGACCAGAGTTCAAATTTGGCCTTAGATATTTATTGCTGTTTGGCCCTTAGCAATTCACTTAACCTCTTTCTACCTCAGTTTTCTCTCCTATAAAATGGGGATAATAGTAGCATCTACATCCCAGAGTTGTTAAGAAAATCAAATGAGATGGTATTTGTATAGCAGTTAGTACAATGCCTAGCACATAGTATTTGCCTAATAAATACTTGTTCCCTTTCTTCTCCCCTCACCCCCCTCAGCTTTTTCAGATGAGAAAACTGAGAGATTGTACAACAATTACACAGTAATTCTTAGACCTGGGATTTGAATTTATACCTCCTGATATAAACTCTAAAGCTATTCTTCCTTCACCACAGTGTGTCTCCAGCTGTGACAAAATAAACCTGTCACTAGAAATTCTTACCTGAAAAGAAATAAGAACTCTGCCTCCTAGGGAGTGGAAAAGAAGACAGTAAAAAGGAGCAGACAGCTGGAATATATGGAGAAGAGCTTCACTGTGAAACAGAGACACCTGAAATAATAAGGGACCTAAGGTTCCTGGGTTTAAAAGGGTTAGGGATGATGGTTAGGAATAGATGTTTTACTGGAGTTAGTAGATAGCTACCCAAGGTAGGGCATGTAGTCAGTGAATTCCATCTGGGGGTTACTTCTCACTACAGGGAGGAAAGCACGGAGAAGTGCTGGAACCATCCTGAAACAAGGCCACAATTGGAACATTAACAATTCTGAAAATCATGATATCTAAGAGGAAAGGGAAGGAGGGCTCTGAACTGTCAGAGCCAAGATAGAGGGTAGGAGATGAGAGACAGATCCAAAGGGAGAAATTATAGTTACAGGTCAAGTCCTAATGGAAGGGGGACAGGGAACCTTGAATTAGGTGTCATGGGATCTGGATTTGAATCCCAGCTGTGCCACTTACTGACTTATGAACACGGACAAGTCATTAACCTCCTTGGACCTCAGTTTCCTCACCTGTAAAATGACAGGATTGACCTAGGTGACTTCTAAGGTCCCTTCCAGTTCTTAATCTATCTATGATCATGTGATCTATCAAATGACTGATTGGGGGTAGATCACCTCTAAGGTCCCCTATGGCTCTGATTCCTTGACTGCAGGAGCCTGTAACATTCTGGTTATAGCACAGTCAGAGGCAATTTTTGCTAATGAGGTACCTGCCGATGTCAAGTCCTTTGATAGCTATCCCTATACCACCCCCTCTGATCCTTAAAGAATTCCTGCCAGATGACCAACTGGAAACTGAAAACTGAGACAGTGGTGGTTGTATCTACTTGTCTGAAACTCATCAGGCTGGCATCTTTGGAGTTTGAACACTGACAGAGAGTTTTACTAAGCAGGAAACTTATTGTGGACATCCATGACAACATAGGGCCCACACTGGGTCTCAAGCAGCTAATGAAAATGTTATACTTTAAAAACTAGATAAAAGAGCAAGACAGGCATGTTGTCTTGGCTGTTTGACTATTAACCCGTTTTGTAGAGACTAAAAAACATAATGGTGATGTAGTCATACTGATTTCAAGTTATGAATAGTTAACGTGAATATTCACATTTATGATTATTATTTATTTTCATCAAATATGTATTTGTCCTAGTGATCAATTATGAATTATGGACTATTGTTTGTCCTTTGTTTTTTAAAAGAACCAATGACATCGCCAGGTGATGTCTTGACTTGTATATGAATGGATTTAAGTGAGGCAGAGTTGCACAAAGTCATCAGTCTCACTCTCTCTTCCAGGGTCATTGAAGTCCAGCGGCAAGACAAAAGTCAGTATGACTGATGATAGCCTGGGATGCAGTGGATAACCTTGGGGTCTTTGATGTTTGGCCAAGCTCTAAGCACTCCACAGGGCCTGCTTCAGCCACCTTCATGGCTGTTGAAACAAATTAATTCTATGTCACAATCATTGCCAAATATTATTTGCCTATTGGGCATAGTCCAGTGTAGATCAGGTCATTTTCTAAGTCAGGATTACTAAATTCCTCATGATAATAATAGCATTCATTTTATAAGCATAAAATGTCCTGGTGTTTCATAATCTTTTATTGTTTCCTATAGAAGTTCTATTAAACTGATGTTATTAGATCTATTGCCAAAAAGAGGTTTCCTTCGCTCCTCTGAGCCTCAGTTTCCTCATTTGTAAAAATTAAGAGAATGATTAAATTATCTCTAGGGGCTAACATTCTATGGGACAATTTCCTCCTCTCCTCCCAACCCACCCCACCTACATGTTGTATAGCATGTGACTGGAAAAATTAAGAGCAGAATTCACTACGCCTGATATATTTAGTTCATGGTTCACTTGTTTGGGAGAGAAAAAAAATACTTGTTTTTATACTCATCTATTTAAAGGAGCAAAAAATCCAACAGGATCCAAAGGCCTATAGTATTAAGGGGGGGGGTGTTTAATTTAGTAGACCATCCCAGTTGATGCTTAGTTCAATTCATGAGACATTTATAAAGCACTGACTATATTCCAAGTACTAGGCTAGGTCCAGAGAGAGATACAAAGACTAAATAATTCACTGCTATGTTATTATGGATCTTACAGTCTAGAAGCATAAATTTATTAGAGAGGTGCCCAAAAAAGTATCATATTAGGAAGGAGAGGACTATCTTTTGCCTTTATTTGTATCTTTAGAGCTTACCACAGTGCTTGGCACACAGCAGGTGCTTAATAAATGTATATTGACTGATGTCTTCTAAGTTAAAGTCAAGAATTCTCTTGGAATTCAAAGTCTTTCACAATCTGTTACACACTGGGGAAACCAGGAAAAGCTTCATGGAAGAGGTGCCAAGAGTGAGGTTTCAAAAAATCAATAGGAATTCACTGGTAGAATAATCACAAAAATTCACATGTGTAAAGTAATTTAATATTTAGAAAACTTTCCCTACAAATACCCAGTAAGGTAGGCAGTATAAATGTGACTAAGCCCATTTTGCTTATGAGGAAACTGGGGTTTCAGAAAGATCAAGTAACTTGTCCAAGGTCACAAAGCTAATAAACAATGGAGCTAGGATTCTAACTCAATTTCTCTAATTCTACGATCAGTGCCTTTTCCACAAAGAGCCTCCTATAAAGGCAAAGGGGAGTGGAAGTAGTGACAAAGGGACATTCTAAAGTAAATGAAGAAAACAGTGAGCAAAGGCAGGAAGACTGGAAAACCAAGAATGTCCAGGGGACCAAGATGAAGAGGGAAAGAATTCTAGGCATGGTGGACAACCAGTGAAAATGTGTACAGTTGGGAGACAGAATGTCTTGCTTGAGGAATAGAAAGGAGGCCATTGTCAATGGATTGCAGGCTGACTACATGGGAGAGGAAAGAGATATTACAAAAATAAAAAATGACAGGATTTGGCAATAAATTAAATATGAGGGAGAGAGTGAAAAGTTGGGGTTGACACCTAGGTTTTGAACCTGGGTGACTGGGAAGCTGGTACTGCCCTTTTCAGATTGTGAGCTCCCTGAGGGTAGGAACTATCTTTTGCTTCTTTCCATGTCCTCAGTACTTTGTACAGTGTCTGGGACTTGGTAGACATTTGATAACTATTTATTGACTGACTGACTCACCAGTAATAGAGAAATCTGAAAGGAGGTGAAGGCTTGGGAGTATAGATAAAAAGTTAGGTTTTAGATGTCTTTGAGTTGTCTACAGGACGTCCAGTTTTAAAAATGCAATAGGCAATTGGATGTGCAAATCTAGAGGTTCAGAAAGAGTTTAGGGCTGCATAAGTAAATCTGAGAATTGTCAACCTGGAGTTGAGAACTGAAGCCATGGGAGCTGATGAGATCACCAAGGGAAATTGTATAGAAGGAGAAGAGAAGAGGGCCTAAGATCCAGCCCTTAAGAATGCCTACCTTTAGTGGGAATGATCTGAATGAAGATCTATTAAGGAGGTTGAGAAGGAGCTATCTAATAGCTAGGAGGAGAACCATGATAGACTGGTTTCCTGGAAATCCAGAGAGAAAAGAGTATCAAAGACAGGAAGGCATCAGGTTGTCATTGAAGGAGTTTGAACAGAAGAGTGACATTAACAGGTCTGTGCATTAGTCTTTTTTTTCCATTTCCAGCCAGGACCCAGACCCAGGAGGGAAGCAAGAAGAAACCTCCAGAAAGTGATCTTGTCAATCAGCAGGCCTCAACTCACTCAGTGACTCCCAGGAAAAATGGCGACGTGGTCAGCTTTGACTCCCCAGGCAGCAGAGTTCCAACCATTTCACAAGCTATACCTCAGACTAGGATCTCCAAGTCAGTGGAGATATCTTCCCCAGTTACTGGTATCTCCAAGGCACGATCTGAGCCCATCGACAACAGGTAAAGTTCAGCCTTAACTAGACTAGGAGAAACTCCTGCATTTAGCCACAAAGAGAATAAAAGAATAGATTGAGTAGTGTTTTGAACAGCCTTTCACGAAGGGACTTTTAGTTAGTTTATGAAAAGGCTTAGCTATACATGAGCACTTTGACTTAGGAAACTAAGTCAACCAAGGTGCTAAGGAAAACAAGGAAGCTGTATAAAGTGGTATTTGTGGTTTTATTTTAGTCCAGACATAATGATTTAATTGTTATAGGAGGAATGGCTAAGTAAACCCCTCTGCCAGTGTAGATGGCACCTGCTCTGAAATTTATAATCTCAGAGTAGGAGTTCTTCATCTCCTGGGGGTCATTGACTCCTTTGGCAGTCTGGCAAAAACTGTGGACCCCTTCTCAGAACTCTGTTTTTAAATGTATAAAATAAAACACATAGGACTGCAAAGAAAACCAAAAGGTGGTGAAAATAAAGATGTAATTTCTTTTCTGATCCAAGATCATGGACCCCTTGAAATCCATCCATAGAGGTTCATGGTCCCCACATTAAGGGGTCTTAGAGAGTTGCCAGGGAGCCCTGAAAGGTTAAAATGGTGTGCTCAGGGCAATATAGTCAAAATGTGTCAGAGGTAGGGTTTGAAGCCTAGTCTTCTTTGCTCCCAGGCCAGCTGGAGGAAATTAAGAGGGGGAAAAGAAGAATGTTGAAATGGATATAGTCTTACTCTCAGGATTTCTTCCACCAAACACACTTGTCATACCCCAACAAAGGAGAGTCCAAAATGCAACTCTAACTTGTTTATATTATTGACATGATCTTCCTATAAATCCCTCCTCTAAAGTCCTCTAATGCCTCATTGTGACACAGAGGTAACATAAGGTTCATCTCTATGCCAGCAGAGAGCAAGTCTCACCAACATGAAAAAGCTTCAAGCATAAGTTCAGCCATGAACTTAACCTAGGTTAAGTTCAGAGACACATTTGTTACCAGCAAGCTGACCACCAGATGAGTTAATGTGAGTAGGACAAAGAGATGAGGAGTTAGCTGCTAATTGTATTAATTAGTAGAAAACTACTATACAGATGAAATTACAGACCTTTGAAATATTGAAGGAAGCATCCTTGTGAAACAAGTAGAGAACAAATATCTTTGTTTCCATTTTACAGAGAAGGAAACAGAAGAATAATTCATAGTTAAATGACTTGCCCAAATTCAAGCTAGTATAGTGAATAGAAACGTTATGGCAATCGTGGCATTGAACACTTTTGTTTCATTTGCTCATGTACAAACATTGTCCAAAGAGATCCTCCAAAATTGAGGAAACAGTTTGTTTTTTCTAGGTCACCACTAATTTAGACTTAATATTCTTAGTGTCAAAAAAAAAAATGACACTAAATACTTCTCCTTAGGTATTTCCTCACCTAGAAAATGAAAGATGGGGTTAGATGGTCCTTCCAGCTCTACCTCCTTGTGATTCTGTGATCATTCTTCCCCAAGGTATCGCACAATGCTGTCCAGGCCACAAGGAAAGAATACTCGGTTCCCATTCAACAAACATTGATTCAAAGTAGGAAGCATTGACCTTTTTTCACCAGGAATGTGGCTCAACATATGGTAGAGTGGAGTAAGCACAGAGAGATATAGCTGTGGGTGTTTGGAAGGTTTCCAGGTAGATTGAACAGAGTCCCCCAAAGACGATTGTGAGCCCCACATGTCCAGGATCCTTTAAGAAAGACAAATTAATGTGATTTTATGAGTAGTGTGTCAGTATAACATTCATTTTAGGAATTTGGCAGATGAGGCAAATGAGCTCTGCTTCAAATGACTGCTTATTGTGTTTTAAATTACACACCAGAGATATAAACTCTGGTACAAGATAGAGCACTCCCTATAAAATGTTGGCACTTACAGCTCAGTAAGAAATTAAGCCGCAGGGAGAACAGAGTCCAAGGTTTGTTCTTTCTTTCTTTCTTTCTTTCTTTCTTTCTTTCTTTCTTAAAGGTATCCATATATTACACATGATAGTGACCTCTGCAAGACCAAGCCCTGCACCCCAGTTACTTTCAAGAAGCACTTGGAGGATATCTACTCAGAGCCTGTCTTTCAAAAAGGCATCCAGCAAATGCACCCTGATGTGCTTGGAATGGGAGCCCCAGGGTTTGTAGGAGGACGAACTCATGTCCCTAGATATTACATTGTTAACGAGAGGGAATCCCGCCGAAAGCCTCATTCCATCTCCCGATCACCAAGACACTTTCATAGGGAAAACATGGGTGACTTTGGGGAGGTATATCAAAGGAACAAAAGGGGCTATGTATTATCAAAACCCCACCATGTCTACACCCCACATTTGAGTGATGAAGAGGAAGAGGAGGAATTGAGAAGGGACATATTCAATAGATCCTTTCGTCCACGATCCCTCTCAGACCTTCATCAGCCACCTCATTTTTACATTGGTGAACGAAGAGAGAACCAAATCTTGGCTGCTGAAGACCTGGCCAGGATGCACTACCAGTCTTGGAATGGTGGCTTTGAGGTAGACCGCTACCGACCAGTTTATTTGTATAAAAAGCCTCGCTTACGGAATTTTGACCCAGAACCCCGCTACCCAGAGCATTTCATGAAATCAAGAACCAAACAAAAGATGGAACCATCCTTTACAGAGTCAGACTCAGTATCTGCCTCTAGCAGTGACCAGCAAAATAGTAGCACTGATCAATACATCCAAGTCATTCATAATAAAGACAAGTACCTGAAGTCTGCAGGCAAGTTTAGCAAAAAGAAATCCAAGTCTAAGCTTGAACTGACTACTGCAGATCCCAGTGAATTGATTTGTTCAAATGTCTAGATAGAGTGGATTTGTTGTTACTTCTGGAACACAGCAGCACATCATGGTGATTCTGGGATCAAGAATGAGGGTACACATTAGAGACTTTCTGGAAAGAGAAATGAATCGTATATCATGATGGAACAATGGGACTAAGATTTGGCCTGTAAGTGAAATCAATCCATGATGTACTGTATACTCATGAATCCCCAATGCTCTGAAGCCTTTCTGTTCTAGAACATCAGCAACAAGTGTGTATATGGACAACCATTTAATATAGATCAAGTTCTTCTGGGCAGTGGATTACAGGCAAACATTTGGCAACGTTCCTGATGTTTGAAGTCCGAGGAAAAGGTCAAGTAACTCAAGCTGTCTTTCCATCTCATTCTGCTTCAAAAAGGGTGAAGTCACTGCCATTGGAGAGTCTCCTTTTATGTAACTGAGACAACTCCAATTAGTTGCTTATGCTAAAAAAGAATAATAATAAAGTCCTGTGTTTATTATTGCACTGTCTTTTAGGAAGTAAAAATAGTACCCCATGTAATAAAAAATGTCAATAAATTTTCATTTCTCCAAGGCTAGGATTCTAAATTCTGTGTGTGTGTGTAACTTTTGCCAGTCAGTCAATAAACATTTATTAATCACCTACTATGTGTCGGGCACTGTGCTAAGTGTTGGCAGTCTGATAAAGCCTATATATAGCTTTCTACTCAGACTAATATGTTAAATGTACATAATATAATTCAAAGGAACACAAATAAAGCCAATTATATTAAGATAATATTATCAAAATACTTTTATGATATGCAGGTGGATTTTAGAAAAACCTAGAAAGACTTACATGAACTGATACTTGGTGAAGTGAGCAGAACCAGGGGAATGTTATACATAGTAACAGCAGCATCATGTGATGATCAACTTTGATAGACTTGGCTCTTCTCAATGATCTAAGACAATTCCAAAAGACTCCTGATGGAAAATGATATCCACATCCTGAGAAGGAAATATGGAGTCTGAATGCAGATCAAAGCATGCTATTTTCTCTCTCTTTTTCCTTTCTTGTGGTTTTTCCCTTTTGTTCTGATTCTTTCAACACGACTAATGTGGAAATATGTTTAATATGATTACACATGTATAACCTATATCAGATTGCTAGCCATCTTGAGGAGGGGGAGAAAAAAATTTGGAACTCAAAATCTTACAAAAGTGAATGTTGAAAACTACCTTTACATGTAATTGGATAAATAAAATACTATTATGTGGGGAAAATATTTTTAAACATGTTAAAACATGTTCATGGGCCCCAGGTTCAGAACCCCTGCTCTAAGCTGAGGCACCGTGCTGGGTGCAGTGGAGACTACAAAAGTATAAAACAATGGGACGTGGGAGGCAAAAAAGCTAATATGTATTCTCCAATAATTTTAATAGAAACGTTTCTATTAATCCATCTACAAACATTTGTTAAGCCTGTGCACCAGGCACTGTGCCATATCCCTCATTCTATGCTGTTAGGGATACAGAGACAAGAGTGAAACAGTCCCAGCAATCACAGAACTTAGATTCTAATGGGCAACACACCATGAACACATTCAGGGAGGCATAAATGATACAACGTAGATACATAGTTACCTTGGTGGATGTGGGAGAAGCACTAGCAGCTAGAGAAAGCCAGAAAGACTCCACGCAGAAAACTGTTCTTGAGCTGAGTCCTAAGGAAACCAGGGATCCCAAAGGTGGAGGTAAGGAGAGAGGGCATTCTATGGATAGGAGATATCCAGGGCAAAGGCACAGAGATAGGAAATGGACTGTTATCTGTAATGATGACGATGATAGTCTTTATATAGTGCTTTAAGGTTTGCAATGCACTTTATATATTTTTCTCGGTGATCCTCAAAGCAACCCTATGATACAGGTGCTATTGTTACCCTCACTTTATAGATGAGGAAACTGAGATTTAAGAAAGCTTACGTGGCTTGCCCTGGATGACGTAGCTAGTAAGGTCTTAAAGCAGGATTTGAATTCAATCTTAATCCAGTTCCGTCACTCTGCTATACCACCTTGCTGGTTCATTTTGGCTGTAGTGATGTGGGTGTAGAGAGGAGTAATGTGTAGTAAGGTTTGAAAGGTAGCATGAGGTAGGTTGTAAAGAGCTTTAAATTCTAGAGAAGTTTACATTTGATCCTAGAGATAATAGAAACATGGTCATACTTGCATTTTAGAAAAAAAAAATCACTTTGACAGCTGTGTACAGGACAAAATAAAGTGAAAACAGCCTTGAAGTGGAGAGATTGATTTGGAGACTATTAAAATGATCTAGATAAGAGATGGTGAAGATCTAAACTACGGTGATGGCTACATGAGTGGAGAAGAAGAAATACACATACATACATACATACATACATATATGTTGTTCAGCCATTTCAGTCTTCATGACCCCATTTGGGGTTTTCTTGGCAAAGATACTGGAGTGGTTTGCCATTCCTTCTCTAGCTCATTTTATACATGAGGAAAATGAGGCAAATAGGATTAAGTGATTTGCCTAGGGTCCCACAGCTAAGTATCTGAGGCCAGACTTAAACTCAGGGCTCTCTGACTCCAGGGCCAGCACTCTATCTATTGCACCACTTCGCTGGCCCATATACATACATATACACACATACATATATACATACATATAGTAATTGGGACAGGGAGAATTTCTTTCCATGTTTGTTCAGTCCTTGTATAAATTCCTATAGTCTTAAAAGTTTGTGGATTTGAACATGAGAAGTGGCCAGAGATCCCTGTTGGTGACACTAAAATGCAGGGTTCTAAGCTAAATATAAACATAGCACTCTAGATGTGGCCTGGCTAGGGCAGAATATAGGAGGACTACCATATCCCTCATTCTATGCAACATACACACACACACAGACACACACACACACAACATTATATATACATATACACATGTGTGTATATATATAATGTGATACATATATGCATACATGTGTATATACATGTGTGCATACATATACACACATATACATGTGTGTGTGTGTGTGTCTGTGTGTGTGTGTGTGTGAAGAACTGAGGATGACACAAATGATGCAAACCAAGGTGGCCAGAAGGATAGAGTGTCCTTGACAGAAATAGGGAAGTTTGTAAGGTTGGGGGTGTGGGAAGAAAGATAATGAGATTTTGTTCTGTACATGTTGAGTCTGAGATGCTTATGTAACAACTTGGGAATGTTTAATAGACAACTGGTAATATGGGACTAGAGTTGAAGAGAAGTGTGGGCAGGGCATAGATTTGGGATTCATCTGCACAAAATGGGGGGTATGAGCATCCTGCCCCAGTCATGCTATATCTAGAGTGCTGTATTTAGCTTAGGACCCCACATTTTAGTGTCATTGACAGGGACTTCTGACTGCTTCTCATGCTCAGATCCATTATTCTTAGAATTATGAGAGTTTCTGCAAGGTCTGACCAGCCAGGGAGAGAAATTCTCCCTACCCCAATTATCATCTTGCCTTTTCTGCCTCCCCCTGTCTCTGACTTTAAGACTTTTAATTCCCATTTTGAACAGTCTAGAGATAGTTCATATACTTTCCAATCAGAAACTGAATTTGTCTTCTTCCTCATCCTCTTCTTACCTTGTAGTTAATAAGGGTGGTAGAATGAGGGAAATGCATTAGCTAGGATATTAATAAATATCACTTTTAAAAGAGGGTGAACAGAATGAGGAAGGAAGAGACTTAAAATCATGTTATTATAAATTGTTTGGCTGAAGGAATTAGGGATGTTTAACCTGAAGAAGAGGAGTTTTAGGCAGGACTAGGTAGTAGTCTTCAAGTATTCAAAGGGAAAAAGAAATCAGATTTGTCTTACTTATAGACAAGTAGATATCAACCTTTTTTTTAAATAGGAAAAAACGATAGCTGATCAAAAACAGAATGGCTACTTCAGAAGGCAGTTAGGTCACCTACTCCTGGAAATCTTCAAATGAATATTGAATGATCAGCTGTTATCTGAAATCTTATCATCTGATATCCTGTATATTGTTCAGTACTCATTTCTTAACAAACTTTCCAAGTTTGGCTATTCCTCTCTGACTCACTACCCCACTGAAAGACAGGACCTGAAGAAAATGGAATATTCCTTGCTCCTGAATGTCACTTCCAGACCTAACATTTTCCACCATTACTCTATCCTTTCTTCTCTTCACTGTTTCCTACATCTTTGCACATCCTAGTGGTTGTTATATATGGACTTCCAGGTCATAATTCCTCAGTAAATTCAGTAACTGCCACATAGTCTTTTCCATTCTAATCCCTGACCCTATTAGACACTCTTGGCCTTCAAGCTTTTCACCCTCCTTAACTCTCATGACTTCTATCTCAGTCAGAATCAACTATTCAAAGGTGTGGCTATGCATTAGATATTACCACTATCACTACCACTACCACCACCACCCAGCCCTAGCTCAAGGGAATCTGTACCATAATTCTTAAGTGTGGTGCTGATAGCTATTAGAACTATTTTGAGGGATGACTCCATAGAGATTGATTAATAATTAGATAAGAATCATGAAGAAAATAGCAAAAGAGGAGTAGTCAAAATTACAGTAGATTTTTTGAGTCAAAATGCTGTTGGTGTCACTGAAAATGGAACAGCAAACCAAAATAGCAGTATGATATTCACATGGAAATGTACAGTGGATTGTAAGATATGGACCTGGAGCTGGAATGAGGAATTGTTTCTTTCATTGTTTTGTAGCCATAAGACCTAGCACTAGTACATAGTAGGACCTTAATAAGTGCTTGCTAATTTATTGGTTAATTCATATATTTGAAATACAGAGGTGATGATAACTGAATATGAATTCTGAGGGAGAGGTGTAGAAATAAGGGAAGCATATCAGAATTAAACAAGAAAGTATCAGTATAGGGGCAGCTAGGTGGCACAGTGGATAGATCTCTGGCCTTGGAGTCAGGAAGACCTGAGCTCAAATCTGACCTCAGACATTTGACATGTACTAGCTGTGTGACCCTGGGCAAGTCACTTTACCCCGATTGCCTCACCAAAAAAAAGTATCAGTATAAGCAAGAGAAGAGTATTATTGGAGGAACATTCATATTTAGGAAATGAGAACCAAGGAGCCTTCAAAAAAAAAAAATGAAGAATTAGTTAAAGAAACACCACTACCAGAATATGATGTTAAGAGAAACCAAGTGGGGAGGAGAGTTTTAATTAGGAAACGGTGATATAGGCTGCCAAATGCTGCAGAGAGTTTGAGAGTCATGAGGTTTGAAACAATGCTCTTGAATTTGGCAACAGAGAGGGATTAGTAACAGAAATCTAGACGTAAAAGGTTAAGGTAGGAAGTTGGTGGTGAAGAAAGGGAAGCTGTTGATTTGGGAAGCCTGGAAATGAAAGAAAGGAGAAAAATTGGGGTAGCCAAGGTCTGAAGTGGAGCAAAAGGAGGATTTTGACCCTTTCCCCACACATTGAGAGATTATCCTGTGCTCAAGTCTCCTTAGGATGCCTTATCTTGGTGCAGAGGTGACTCTGGGGTGTCAAAGATTGTGTTAACAGGGAAAAGGCATTCAGCCAGGTTCTATCTTTTTGGAAAAGTTTAGTTAGTACCACCAAGTGTCAAGGTATGCGTTTTATAGTAAGAGGACAGCCTCAAATGAGGTAGTTGTTGGTTGGTTGTTTGGTTTGCCACAGAAACTCATAAAAACCCTCTTCTCAACTGTGGAGTGGTTGATGTGGGGTAAGTGTCCACAAGGAAGAAACTCTGAAGACTAAACCTACTAGAGCAGGGGTGGGGAACTTGCTGCCTCAAGGCCATATGTGGCCCTCTAGGTCCTCAAGTTCGGCCCTTTGACTGAATCCAAACTTCACAGAAAAACTCCCCTTAATAAAAGGATTTGTTCTGTAAAACTTGCACTCAAAAGGCCACACTTGAAGACCTAGAGGTCTATATATGGCCTCGAGGCCACAGCTTCCCAACCCCTGTGTAGGGAATTTAAGGAGTTAGAGAATTTTCAGCTAGGAGGACAGTCCCCTTTAGCAGCCTAGCAAAGTCTAGGGAATCCTTCCCGACATAGTTTTTAAATAACTGAAAGATATTAAAATCCAGTTAATAGTTATGGAAAATAAAGACTTAATTTTTTCTCCACCCAAGTTCATCGACCCCCTGAAATTTTACCCGGGGAGCCCATGAGCCCATAAGTCCCAGGTTAAGAAACCCTGATGTAATTCAATCAGCGAGTTGCCCAGCATTATAGGAGTCATCAAGAGTTCAGAAGGAACAAGGTCAAGAAAGCAAGTTATCTTTTAGAGAAGAGGGAGGCGTCTTTGCCTGGGACTTTTTGTAGGTTGGGGTGATATGACGCCCTATTCATTCTAAGGAAAAGGTGTTTGCACAGTTCAAGGGAGAGTATTATGGTGGGAAGGCCAGGTCTTTTCCTCTCTTCCTGGTAGGAAAAGGTAGAATGCTAATCCTAGTCCTGCCCAGCATTAGCGCCAGTTTAGCTCAACCCAGCTGTCCTCCACATCACTGGAGCTGGGTGGGATTCGCTCCGCCTATCTCGCCAAGGGCGTCACCGACCTTTACCAAGCAGGGTAACCCCAGGGGCCTTCTTTCCAAAGCCAGGCAGAACTGGATTCCACAAAAACCAGAGACCAGGAAGCAATGAAAGAAAAGCAGAACTCATGGGACAGACCACGTGAGGCGTTGCCTGGAAGGGCCAACCGGGAAATAGGAGGGACGGTCCCCAAGAATGGGGATTTTCGGACCAATCCGTGCGGTGGGGGCGGGGTCTGGGCCTGACTCCTCCCCACGCGGTGAGGACAATCAGCTCCAGGTGTACCTGCAGCGGTAGCACAGGGTTCACTTCACTTTTCGCCATGGACCCAGCTCGAGCAGCTGAGTTGTCTGGGACAGTGGCCGAGAAAATGCTGCACTACCGAAGAGATGAGAGTGGATGGAAGACGTGTCGGAGCGGCGTGAGTGATGGGGCCCCAGGGGGACCGAACAGTCGGACTAGGGGCGGCCCCACCGAGAACTTGGGCTCTTCTCTTTTTCCACCTGCCTGCATCAGGCTGGCACAGTGTATTCTCCCTCTTAAGTCCACGTCTCCTTGAGGGACACCGTGCTCTGCGCCCTTTCTCACCAACTCCCTATCCCTTCCCCCGCCTCTTTTTCTGGGCCTATGCCCTCATCTCCCAGGCTTAGTACTACTTCTAGGCTGAGCTTCCTCCACCCAAAACAAAGGATCTTCCCTTACTCAGAGTAGCCCAGACTTTCTGCCCATCTACTCCATGATGCCTCCGCACTCGTACAACCTTCATCAGCATACCACACCCCCGCCCACTTTACTCAGTCACACAGTCATTGCCTCTTTGAGTCCCTTCGTGCCTGACAATTTCCCAGAGTTCTGATGTCCCCTGTCCCCTACTGGAATCTCAGAACTCGAAACTGTTCTAGTTGAATCAAGCTGAAAATTCAGAACTCCCAGATAAAAGAGGATTTCATTTTCAGAAACCATAAACAGAAATTTCCACCCAACAAATGTTAACGAATCACCTACAATGATCTAGACAAGGGAGATATAAAGATAGGTAGATTACGACCATTTTTCCCTGAAAATGCACAGGTTCTGCTTCGGTTTTAAAGTAAACTGTTTCACTTCTTGAAAATCTGAATTTTAATAGAGGCTCTAAACTGTGTAAAGACTTTTTTTTAATTATTATTTTTGTAAAGCAACTGAGGGTTTGGTGGGATTTGAAAAATTCCAGCGACATTTTAAGTCAGATTGAGACATCCTTCTCAAGTGTTTTTCTTATCCCCAATAATTTTATTAACAGAAAGGAGTTACAATTTCTTGGAGGCCTTCTACGGAGTTTCCTGGGAACCTGTAAGTCAATGTGTTTCTTTAAACCATAGAAGATGCTGAATCTTTCTTGACAAAATCCTGCACATTTAGTAAATGCCATAGTATATATATCACAAGGTCCCCTTGAGGTTAGTCCATCAGGATTATTTTTCCTGGGAAATATAATCTCTTATTTTGAAACAAATCATTTTTATCAGATTGAATTGGAATGCGGAGACACAGGCATTATACAGGCATAAGAGGAGTTAGGCTGATAAGCTTTGGTTTCCTCTCTTGGATTTATTACTCAGTGATTCATTAATTCAAGAAGCATTTATTAAGTGCATTATTAAGAAGCACTTATTAATGAACACAGTGCTTGGAGTGCAAAGACAATGACAATGGCTTTTCTATTCACTCTATATTTATTTTAAAAAAATAACAGTTTCTCCAAAGATGAGCTATAATACCTCAGAGTCAATTTTCTTCCTCCCTCCACCACCCAGGTACAAAGGAGAAGGAATAATAAATGGCACCCCTGAAGAGGTGTGGAAATTCTTACTACCAGCGGATAATGGATTACGGGCAAAATGGGATGAGAATGTGAAAGACCTTCAAGTTCTTGAATTGATCAAAGATGTAAGCTATTTCAAATGTTGTAATATGGTATTAATTAATGATAATCACTGTGGCACAGTGGTAGAGGGCCAGCTTTGGAGTCAGGAAGACTGTTTCAAGTCCTGTCTCTGACATATAGTGTCTTAAGTCACTTAAACTCTTAGTTCTTCAGGCATCTTTCCAAGAGTCTTAAGTTGCTGATCTGCATTGGTGAAGGGAATTTTCACACCAAGATTTCCTCACAGGAATGAGATCATAGGTCCAGACCACATAGTAATTTAAAATAATTATTACTTCTTTAGATATTGGTTATATCATATTATAGTGATGTCACTTAGAAGGAAGCACCAAGTAGTGAGAAATACATTGAATTAGGGATCAGAAGACCTACTTTTGAGTCTTGTTTCTGCCATTTATAATCTGTGTGATCCTGCTCAAGTCATTTACTTCTCTAGGTCTCAGTTTTATTATCTATAAAATGAGGTGGTTGAATTGGTTGATTCCCCAAAGTTTCCTTCCAGTTCTAACATTCTATGACTGATCACTCCTTGAGCACAAGAATTATGTCCCTATAATGCATTTAAAAGCATGAAAACCACTGCATGAGCTCATGAAACCATTAAATATTACTCCTAGTATTTAGACCTGAAAGGTGCCCCAAAGATCATCTAGCTCAAGAGTTCTTAAACTTTTTTTTTTGTTTGTTTCTTGGACCCCTTTGGCAGTAAAGACTCTTTTACAGAATGCTGTTTTTAAATAATTGGAGGAAATGCTAAATATTATTTAGAGGTACAGAAAAATTAAAATGTGATTTTTTTTTCTTTTAAGTTCACCAACCTCCTGAAATCTATCCACAGACCCCAGCTCTGGACCCCTAATCAATTTTATTTAATTTAACCTTGATCAATCTATATCCAAGCCATTTATAGCTTAGAAAGATAGATGTCCAAAATGGCATAGTCCCCCATGCCCTGAGATAAGAATCTGCCCCAGAATATGTCAGGTAAAATCTATGGGAATCTTGAATAAGGAAAAGATAGTCTGGGTTAACATTTCATCAGATTTCTCTTGGACCACTCCACCTGAAGAATCTAGAGAGACCCGCCGGAAATCTCTGTGGGGAATCTTAACTGAATAGGAGGCTAAGCAAGTGGGTGTTTCCTCCTTTATTGAAAGTACTTTCTTTTGGATGAGTCCTAGTTTCAATTGTTTCTAGATTGGAGAGGGCCTGGATCTTATCTCAACCACAATTAAATCTGCTTATCAGCTTTCATCTGTTTCTCTTAGAAAGGCTTTTTTGTCTTCAGCCCAGTGGGTTCTTCCTGGAATCTGGAAAGGGGTTTAGGGAAAAATATTATTTTTTAATATTTTCGGTTCTACTAAACAGATTTTAAATTTCATTACACATAAGGAAAAAAAAAAAAAAACACTTGCCAGGCATGTTGTACAGGGGATCCTCATTCCACGAAAAAATGAACTAGGTGATTTCTAAGGTTCTGATTTTCTGTGATTCCCAATTAAAAGTAAAGCTAAAGTGAATTTTGGTTCCCAATGTATAATGCTTACAAAGCATGTTTTCTCTGTAGATGTGGAAGTTTACTGCCCTTTACATGCTCCCCTTCTTTCTCCTATATTTTATTTCACTTTTTTCTCCTTCCTAGCCTTACCTTAATTATTATTTACTCCCTCTCTTCCTCCTTTCTCCCCACCCCCAAGGAATAAAAGTTGTTTTTTTTTTTTTAGGTTGAGGAAAACAAAAAGAGCTCACAGGAAAAAAAGATATCCAATGAACAATTTTCTCCAGAGACTGTAGAGCCTCAGTCACTTATAGGGAGGCATGAGATAGGGTTCTTAGCAGCCACTGCTTCTTCTGATTTCTCAGGAGAGGGTTTTTTGGGCCATTCCCATCACTGAACATTGATGCTACTCCTTGTTTTTTTTCTTTTGTATTCTCTTTTTAAAAAATGTCTTATTCTTTTTTTATGTTACATTGCTATTATTTCCTAAAGCGCAACACCAACTCCAAATTATTCTTTTTCATGATAAAGTGGGAAGAACAATGAAGTTGGAGTCCCAGGACCTGAGTTAGAATCCTGTCTGTGCTGCTTAGTACCAATGGGACTGTAGGCTAGTCATTTAACTCCAACTTTTCTGGGCCTGGGTTTTTTCATCCACAAAATGAAGGAGTTGGTCTAGATCAGTAGAATCAAATGCAAATAGAAATAGAGGCCACTAAACCATACATAAAAGATCCCTGCAGACCACCTGTTGATTTAATTTTAAAATGTAATTTATTTTCTTAAATATTTCCCAGTTACATTTTCATCTGGGTTGAGCCGCACTCAGCAGCGTTGTGGGCTACATTTGGCACATAGGCTGCATGGTTTGACATTTTTTGTCTAGATGGCCTCTAAGATGATATGTAATCTGATATAGGCTTTACATATACATTCCTATTAAATGTATTTTCACAGTAGTCATGTTGTAAAGAAGAATTAGAACCAATAGGAGGAACCACAAGAAAGAAGAAACAAAACAGAAAAAAAAAATAGCAAATAGTATGCTTCATCTGCATTCAAATTCCATAGTTCTTTCTCTGGATGTGGATAGCATTTTCCATCATGAGACTTTTGGAGATGTCTTAGGTTCTTGCATTGTTGAGAAGAGCTAAGTCTATCAGTTAGTCATTGTACAACGTGCCTGTTACTGTGTACAAAGTTCTCCTGGTTCTGCTTACTTCACTCAGCATCAGTCCATACAAGTCTTTCCAGGTTTTTCTGAAGTCTGCTTGCTCATCATTTCTTATAGCACATAGCACAATAATATCCCATTACATTCATATGCCGCAACTTGTTTAGCTATTCCTTAATTGATGCGAATCCCCTCAATTTTCAATTCTTTGCCACTACAGAAAGAGCTGCTATAAATATTTTTCACATGTGTGTCCTTTTCCCATTTTTATGATCTCTTTGGAATACAGCCCTAAAAGTGCTATTGCTGGGTCAAAGGCTATGCACATTTTTATAGCCCTTTGGGTGTGACTCTGTTTTTTTTTTGAAGTGTCAGAGGGCTTTTCTTATTGAAAAGGTATTATACAGATAATTTTTTCCCCTTAAATTTGGCAGGATCTCTTCATAATCAGAACAATCACACCATCAGCTGCCATGAAACTCATTTCTCCTAGAGATTTTGTAGACCTGGTACTAATCAAGAAGTATGATGACGGGACTATAACTTCTAATGGTGAGCTATGACCCTGTGCCTTTTTTCATTTCAATGTGTGTGTGTGTTGACTATCAAATGCAATGATTCTTGAAGAAAGTGGGCCATTTGTAAAATATTAGCTTGTATTGCCTGGGCCCTCACCACTGCACAGCGTTCTTTGTGGAGAGGGCAGGAAGGACTTCCTATCTGCTCTACACCAACTGTTTCCAACCTTCTCTCTTCTTCTTTCACTCCTCCTTCATTCCATCCCATCCCATCCCATCCTTCCCTAAGCAGATGATTTCTCTTATTGTTCTTTTAAGTTACCAAAGAGAATAAGTTCTCTGTGGCCTTCCTAGTCCATATTTTGACTTAAATCCTTTTATAGAGACCCCTTCTCCTAAGTGGGAGTAGGGGGAGGGAGGACTGCTGTGAAAGAAATCAGAGCACAGAATTTCCAATTTGGGAGTTTACTTTTATTTTTAGTCCATGTTCTGTTTAATCAGTTCTTTAAGTTCAGAAACCTGGTAGAAGTGATATTTTTCATGAAGCCAAAAACCAATTTGTATAATTTTGATCCTGGAATTTACTAGAGACTAAGACAAAAGTAGCTGATGATGAGCAGCATAAACCTATAATAATGAGTAGCATAAAATGATGTAGTGTAAACCCTGCAAGGATGCAACACCTCTTATCTCCTGTTTTTCCTATTGAACTTCCTTGCTGATTGTATCTTCTGCGTTGTACCATTTTGCTTCTGTATTGTCTGGAGTCTGTATCCCCCACTCCTATTTCCACTCCCATCCTATGACCCTCACAGCCATAACACCATAGACATGCCGAACACCATAGTAGGAAATAGGTGGTTGATGCTAGAGAATATGAGAACCTTAGTTGGACTTGTTGCCATCAGGTCAAATTGATATTAGCTGTACAAAGTTGCAGTCTCTCAGAGTCAAAAGGACCTTTATTCTACTATTTCTTTGCTTCTGCTATTTCTTTAGATAACTTATGAGGCTTAGAAAGAAACCCTGGGGGCTTTGCTTTTCTAGCATTAGGTACTTACCCTGAAGCCCAAGCTGTAAATTATTTCTACATCATCTAATATAACTCTTTATCCCTTTTGAAGGTGGTTTGGTTTAGACAGCAATGGATCTGAATTCAGAGGACCTGGGATCAAATCTTGGTTTTATTTACTACTTATGTGATTTTGGGCAAGTCACTTCACCTCTCTTGGCCTCAATTTCCTCATCTTTAAAATGAGGAAATTGGAGGGTAGGAGAGGGGGCAGGGAGAAGGGAACAAGTATTTATTAAGTACCTACTATATGCTGGGCACTGTGCCAAGCACTTTGCAAATAGTGTCTCATTTGGTCTTCACAATAACCCTGTAAGGTAAGCACTATCATCCCCATTTTACAGTTGAGGAAACTGAGGCTGACAGAGGTTAAGTTACTCTCCTGGGGTCATATAACTAGCCTGTGTCTGAGGCTAAATTTTCAATTCAGGTCTTTCTGACTTCAGGCTTCATATTCTAACCACTACCCCATCTAGCTACCTCTAGATGATATAGCTAAGGTCTCTTTCAACTCTATGATCCTATCATGTCTTTAAATTCTAATTTCTAACATATTATTTGAGTACTTATCTCATCCTCCACTAATTCCTATCCTGGGACTTTTTCATTCATTGAAAGTGATGTGAATTATTGAAGATTATGCTGGAAAATCAAAGGTTCTGGCAGTTTCTATTATGATAGAAAAGCCTTCTAGAAAAGCATCTCCACACCCTCTGATTCTTTACAGAAGTGGAGAGAACTATGAGTATAGAACACTATATATAATTTCAGAATTTTTTAGTACGTTGGCTAGTTTTGCTAAACTTTTTTCTCTCTTTCTTATTCTTCATTATAAGAAATTCCTCTCTAGGAGATCTCTCTACATCTAGACCTGGAAAAAAGAGATCTTTTCTCTAGGAAAAATTAGAAGGATACATTGGAAAATGTAGGTGACATAAAAACCAAAGATATTAATCATTAAAAAAAATAAAAAATAAACCTTCTTAAGACCAGCCTAAGCACGAAGAGATTCACCACCTATAGACTGGCCACTAGCTGATGAGTTCTTTAACCATCAAAACCCATGAAACAAATAAAGATATAAAATGGTGCTTAGTCCTCATTTATCCCCTTTCACTTCTAAGATGAAGGTGGCAAAATAAAAGAATAGAAGGTGGATGGGGAAGTGCTAAGAAGCAGAATTTTAAGACCATCTCTAAACATTAAATTAGCTGTTAGTTTTCCAAATCTTCATGCAATGCCTCTGGGGACATAATAGTGGGGGAACTGAATCATATAATATTAAGATTCTCACTATAAATGATGTTAAAGCAGAAAGAACATGGGTTTTATAGTCAGAGTCCATGGGTCTGATGCTTACTACCTGTGTGATCTTGGTTAAGTCACTTAACCTTCGTAAGTTTCAGTTTCCTCACCTTTATAATGAGGGTGTAGGTCTAAATGATCTCTGAGGTCTTTTCCAACTTTAAGTCTATGAAGGAAATTGTAGCTAAATGGAAGGCTGTCTTTGGAAATCCCAACGTCCAAAAAAATCCTTTCCTGCTGACTCCAGGGGAGGGTTCCCTCTGACAGGTTGTCTTGAAGTAAAGACTAGACAGACAGTTAGTGGACATGTTGCAGAGAGGGGTTCTTATTCAGAAATGCGTTGGACTAAGTGAGCTCTGAGGTTTTTCTCATCTCTAACATGAGTTGCTTTTATCAAGGATCCAAAGATAAAAGAGGTATCATTTCATGGGACATTGATCATCTTGTGTTGTAGTGCTCCTGGTGTGTGTTTGTAAAAGAAAAACAGCAACAAAAACCAACTGTTTCATTTAAAAAACAAACAAAACAAGTGAGCATTTGATTCAATAGCATAAAATGCTACTTTAGAAACTTTGCTACCAGAACCTCCTACACTAGTGTGATTATAACGATGGAAATCACTTTGTTGGAACCTTTGATTATTAGTATTGAAGGAATCATTAAACTGGGAGATGCAAGAGTGTTTGTTCCTGTCATGGAGAACCTTCCAGGGGAAAGTTCAAAGGAAAGAGGGCTTCCTTCAAGATGTTAAAAATCCCCCAGATGTGTATGTGCTGGCTGCATTAAGCCCAGAAAAACCTGTTAATGAGATTCCCTAATCAATTCAATTTCACAAACATTGATACACACCTATTATGTGTCGGGCAGTATGCTGGGTGCTTTTGAAAATGAAACCACCCCTGGCCTTAAAGAACTTAGATTCTTCTGAGTAGATACAACATGTACAAGGAGAAGTCAATATACATGTAAAATAAATGCAGAATAACCTGGAGATGGAGGGGGGTGGGGAAGAAAGGACTGACAGCTAAGGGAATCAGAAAAGTGGTCTTTTTAGGAGGTTTCACTTGAGCGTCCTCAAGAGCCATGGATCTAGAGGGGTAAGCAGGGAAAACCTCCCAGACACAGGAGAGAGCATTGAGGCAGAGAGTAAAGTGCTGTGTATGGAATACATCAGGTAGGCTGGAAGTCTAGTACTTGAGGATGAATAATAGGAAATGAATCTGTATAGATGGGTAGGGCCAGATTATGAAAACCCTTCATTGCCAAACAGAAATGCTAATGATTTGTCCTAGAGGCAATCAGAAACGTCAAAGCTACTTTAGTGACATTAATCAATGAATAAACATTTGTTAAGTACCTATTATGGACCAGGCATTGTGCTAAGCTGTAGGTATACAAAAAGAGACAAAAGATAGTCCCCTTGCCTCAAGAATCTAGTGGAGGAGACAACACTCAAACTAGTATATCTATAAAGCAACCTATATACAGGATAAATAGGCAATAATTAATGGACTGAAGGCACAAGAATTAAGAGCAACTGGAGAAAGCTTCCAGTAAAAGATTATCAATCAGTGAGTAATGAATAAATGCTTAATCTTTACTAGGAAGCTAAATGGCTCAGTGGATAGAGTACTGGGCCTGGAGTCAAGAAGACCTGAGTTTAAATTTGGTCTCAGACACTAAGTAGCATTGTTGTTGTTCAGTTTTTTAGCCATGCCTGACTCTTCATGACCCTATATAGGGTTTTCCTGGCAAACATACTAGAGTGATTTGCCATTTTGGATTATGCTATGCCCTACAGACTCAAATACAAAGACACTCCCCGACCTCTAGTGGATTACATCCTACTGAAGCAAGACCACATGTTCACAAAGAAGTCAATACAAATGTGTGTGTGTGTGTGTGTGTGTGTGTGTGTGTGTTTGGAAAGACTTGAATTGTTAAGACAGGTCTTAACAAACAAGTGTTGGCAGGAGAAAATGTCGTGCATTGATGGGAAGTCCAGCATGCATCGGCAGGAATATGTGCATGTAATGACTTGTTTACAGTATGATACTATATGGTTACATGACACAATATTGCACCATCAAAATTTCAATGTAGGAAAAAACCCACAAATTTACAATAAATTATTAAATTTAAGATACATAATTTAAAAAAATATTTTATATTTATATATTATAAATATATTTATATTATATACTTTATATTTTTTTAAAATGAGGCAAATTTCCAAAAAAACTGTTAAAGGGTTAAAGAAAGTAGATTTCCAGTGGGGCTCTGAGTAATTTTTTTATTAAGTGGGTAGAAAGCCATATAAGTTTGGGAACTTCCGGTGTAGAGCTAAATCAATCACTAGGCCAACAAGATTGGGAAGAGAGGAAGGTGTGACAAGAATACTGGGGATGATGGACTGGGAAAGAACTAAGGGCTTGAGGGATTAAAGGTCATGGTGAAGACAAAGAATTAAGTTTAAGAGGAATAAAGCATAAAGAGAGATGGAATGATAGGAGATTGTTATCCAATAAAGGCATTTCAGAACTCTTACCATGGAGTCTGATAGCTAGAGAACAGAGTCAGAAGCCCCAGCTCTGTTCCCTTACTACCCATGTGACTTTGAACAAGTCACTTCCCAGCCCTCGGCCCAAGTTTCCTCAGCTGTAAGATGGGGGAGTTGGACTGAGGGATCTTCAAGAACCCTTTTAGTTCTACGGTCTCCTCTGTGCAGATGATCTCAGATGATCTCTAAGAGTTCTTCCAGATCTCAGAATCTATGCTTCTGGAGACATTACAGGAATTTGATCTGATTACAGATACAATTCCTTGGCATTCTCACTCTTTTCTTCTCATAACTGTGTCCTGAGATTCCCTATCCATTGCATACTATTCACATTGATACAGATTGGTCCTGGGCAGCCCGCTATGTCCCTACTTCCCTTACCCCGCCTTCCCTGTGACATACAGTAAGTCTTCTGAATGTCCTACATGCCAAATCCAGGTCAATGACTGCTCCTCTGGTCTTTGTTTTCTAGCTTCCTACGTGGACTATCCATCTTGTCCTCCACAATCAGGTTATGTGAGAGGATTTAATCATCCCTGTGGTTGCTTTTGTGAACCTGTTCCAGGGTAAGAAAAAATCTGTTGTCTTTTATGCATAAACTGACTCCACCAATTTTCCATACACACACACACGCACACGCACACACATATATACACATGCATATGTGTGTATATATGTGTGTGTGTTGGGGAGGAGGGAATGTAATGAGCACATGCACACATGCCCATAGTCAGGGTGAAATGGTAGTTATATATTAAAATGGACAAAATGAAGAGATTTTTTGAAAATATGAAACCAGGACCTGCTTTGGAAATTTGGGTTATATTACTCAAAACAAATGAACAAACAATCCCCACTGATATATTGCTTTAGGTTTTATGAGATGCTTTCTTTGCAGCAGTCCTGTAAAGTTGGTCGTTTTGGACAAGACCTGTGATTTCAATGGTATGAGAAATCATTTGTAAACTGAAAGCAAATTGATAACCTGCCATTGTTGTGTGTTTCTACCACCTATAATTTTTAAGGAATTGAGGCAAAAAGAAATTAAAGAATATATCCAGTCAGTGGTGAAGCCTCTCTGTACCTAATGTAGGTCACTTTTCCTTAACTAAACCTTTATCAGTTAATTTCAGGTTGCCTGTTTTAGTGAATAAAAGATGAAATGACTGAGGGAACAAAGGTTTGAGTTTCTGAGCATATCAGTTTATTAATCAATGCATGTCAACTGCATAACAAATCAGGGCCAGTGGCCTTCCTCAGCTTTGGCACAGGACAGATTTTGTATGTATTAAAAACAGTTACTCAAGACTAATTAACTAAAAGAAAATAATTAACCAAGCTACAAAATTAGGTAATCTGATTTCTAATTGGAGGAAAGATTAGGGACTTTCCAAGTTGAGAGAGGGAAAACAAACAGGTACAATTCCCTGAAATCAGAAAAAAAAAGTGTCCCACTCCCCCTAAGTGACTGTATTCAATCAAAGGAACATGGAAGTGATAGCTGACTGACCAGTAAGGGGCCAGTTTTCAGATAAGACATATGCTTTACTTGAAGTGTATAATTGTGAGAAAACTCCTTGCATCAGTCTTCAGATCTTGCTGGGTTTCTGGTCAGCATGACCTAGGTCCTTAATTAAGGGTCTCTAAGCAGCAGGGAGAGGTGGTCCAGCCTCCCAGCCATGAAGGGCTAGGTTCAAACAATGCAATAAAGTTTTCTGGCAATTCCCACAATTGAATAAAGTTTTCTCACAAGACAGAAATTAGACTAGACCCTCAACTGAATAGAAAGGGAAATAGGCTAGCTCCAGAACTGAGTCACAAGAGAAGGTGAGTCAGTGTAGTTCACCCAGTTCTCACTACCACTTTATGTTCTAATGACCTTACTGCTCAACCTGGACCCTGCCCATAAGGCTGTGCCAGGTAATGCCCGAAGGTATTTGCTGACTAAACTCTGCAGTGCTTGTTTATTTAAGGAAGAGAAGAAGGGAAGGATTTATAGGAGCATAGATTTAGTACTGAAAGAGATGTTAAAAGTGACCTCTTCATTTTACATATGAGAAATCTGAGAACTGGGAACCCAGACCCTGTGATTCCAAAGCCAAGGGCCTTTCTCTCCTAAAGTGTCTATACTCCATTTTTAAATGTGTCAGCTATTTCCCCAGTTTTGGTGAGGTTTTTTTGGTTATAGGATTTCAATTTGGTTTTTTGGTGAGGTGATCAGAGTCAGGTGATTTGCCTAGGATTGCATAGCTATTAAGTGTCAATTATCTGAGGGTGGATTTGAACTCGGGTCCTCCTGACTCCAGGGCCAGTTCTTTATCTACTGTGCTACCTAGCTGCCCCTAGGGTTTCAACTTGGAAGGACCTTAGAGGTCATCCAGTTCAACCATTCCATTTTAAGATAAAAAGACTGAGGCCCTGAGAAGTATTAAAAAAAAAAAAGGCCTGGTTTCAAATCCGCATCTTCTGACACTCAATCTATTGTCATTTCCACCCTACCATGTTGTATTTGTATTTGTATCTAAGGAACCAATAACACATTCAGCACAACTGTCTTTTTATAAGGACCTTTTAAAAGTAATTTTAAAAATATACAGCTAGACAGTTATAAACTTTAAAGATATCATAGCTGCCACAGCACATGGTGTGGTAGAAAGAGCCCTATGAGAAGGGAGGAGAGCTGGGTTCTAATCCTAGCTCTGCAACTGCCAAGGTATGAGATCTCTTGGCAGGCTGCTTCATCTCTGTGTCCTTAGCTGTGAAATAAAGGGGAAAAGTGTCTGCACTCAGTGACTCTGAGGTCTTTTGCAGCTCTGATGCCTAAAATGAATGGGCAGCTAGGTGGCATAGTAGAAAGAATGCCAGGCCTGGAGGCAGAAAAACTCATCTTCTTGAGGTCAAATCCAGCCTCAGACATTTACTGTGTGACCCTGGGCAAGTCACTTAACCCTGTTTGCTTTAGTTTCCTCAGCTGTGAAATGAGCTGGAAAAGGAAATGTCAAATCACTCCAGTAGCTTAAAACGAAGATGGGGTCACAGAGTTGGACATGACTGGAAAACAACTAAACAATGCCTAAAATAGGGAAAATGTTGTTTGTTTCTTTGTTTTCCTGGTTACAAGAACTTCTCAAGGTCATGGACTTGGGCTCAGGGCTACCAGTTTCAAACTCAGTTCACGCTTTCTTCTCTTTTGACACACAAAGTGTGTTGGCCAGGGTTTCATGCCTTTCACAGTTTTTATTCTTTGGAGCAAGAGAGTTTGGGGAGGAAGACAGAACTTTTGCTGGACATAGGCATTCAATCAATATGTTTGACTTCTTTTGTTCATGTTATCTTTCCTTAAGGACCTGAGAATATTTTTATGTATCTTTATCCAGTAAGGATATTTTGCTTGTGCAGTTTATTAAGGTTTACAAAGAAACTTCCCAAAGCCCTGTAATAATTATAGGTAGCGGTCAACCTATTTTTCAGAGAAGGAAAGTAAAATGGAATTATTTCTCCAAACTCCCACAGGAGTGAAGTCAGGATTTGAGTCAGATCTTCTAGCTTCAAGAAGCACTACAGGGATGATTCCCATTTTGCCAAAGGAGAAATTGAGTCCTAGAAAGGCCAGATGAACCTTTAGTAGGAATGTGATTTTGACTTCTTTGTCCTTCCTCTCCGCCCACCCTGAAACATCCTGAAACATGAGCTACAATCTACAAAATGCAAGAACCCTTCTCTGGGAGCCATAGGAGAGCTATGAACTTGTTCTATTCACCAAATCCCCATTTAAGGAATCCTTTGACACAATCAGGAGTCATGTAATAAAATATATTTTTATTATGACTTCTTTGTAAATGAAGTATTTTTTATATTTCACTAATCACCTTAAAGAAGTTTAACAAGACATCAAACCCGACATCTTGCTCCATATATTCCACATTCACTCACAATATAAACAAGCAGTGTATCTGGGCCCTGGCTTACAGTTCATACCCAAGAGTGAAAAACTATTTGAGGTGTCCATCCCTATCACCTTCAAACATTTATCATGTACAGTGCGTAGAGCACTTAACCAGGGTCTAATGATACATGATCCCTGCCCTCAGGGGGCTTATGATCCAGTTGGGGAGAAAGGATCACATTGGAAGTCCAACAGCTCCTGCTCCCTCCTGTTCTTATTTGTCATCTGCTATGTGAGCTTGGTCAAATCACCTAATCTCCCAGATCTCCTCTGTCTCTTCAACAACTGAAGATGTTCTCAAAAGCTATTGGCAACTCTAATACTTTATGACTTCATACTGGAAAGACATCATTTTGAGATGGAATGAAATATTGAATAGTATGCTCAATGGGGTAACTAAGTTGTTTCCACTCAATTATGTTTTTGATGAGATAGTCTTAGAGAAGTCAGTATGTATTCAGTACACGCAGTTGTGTCTTGTTTTTTATTTAACTTACTTAGTCTTTAGTGGTTTTTTATTTGACTTATTTATTCTTATAAACCTCTGAAATATGTTGAATACTTATACTGTCTTTTCAATTAAATTCAGCAAACATTTATCAAATGTGCTAAAAATTAGGTATATATAGACATAAGCTGAAAACAACCCCTTTACTTAAGGAGCCTTCATTTAGCTTGGACACAACATTAAAATAGATAAATAAATACAAGATAATATAAGGAGGGAGAGAGCACTATGTAGGGAGATTAAGAAGGGCATGCTGAAGTTGAAGGTCCCCGGGGTGGGCCTTCCAGGTAAAGCATGCAAGAGGCAAAGGCGAGCGCACAAAGAGACATATATGTCACCACTGGGGGCCATGCTTTCTTGGGGGCAAGGTGTTTATAGCTGAGAATACAAGTCTATAGGACCTTATTCCAGTCTGCTCACACATTTGCTCATTTAGTTTCTATATAAGCCCTGTCATACCTTTTATCTACTCAAGTTCCCTAGGTTCTTTGAGTGGGTAGATAATCTTTGCTACTCACAAATCAAATCAAAGCCCTATACTTGTTCAAAAAGCAGAGGTCCCCTTTTGCCCTGTGGATTGGTGTGAGAACACAACTACTTTACCATCTAAGAGAGCAGGAGTTCAAAAGGTGAAGAACAAGGTAGTGAAGGGGACAACTAGGAGGATGTCATTCGAATTTTCCAATTACAGCATGCTTATGTAGTGACCCCTGGTATTAGTTATAGGTGTAGGATCAATAATATATCTCCAATAAAGAATTTTGTTGAAGAAGACAAGACCAGTCATGTCTGCATTAGCATTAGGATTATTCCACTGAACTATTTCCTATCTATCTGCCTATTTGGACCCCATGAACAAAACTTACGATTTCACATATGGAATATGTTGTTTGCTTTTTCAAACCTTTAATGTAAATTTTCATAAGAGAAATTACATAAGTAATTAATGCTTTCAATATTCCTGGTTTCTGAAATATCTAATCTTCAGTCCATTTCCTGGAGCTGAAGAATCTAGTTTGATGTATGATTACTGCTGATCCTATAAACAGCCAAATTGGCATTGGAGAGTTAGGCAGGAGAAGAAAAGAGAGTTACAAGGAATTGGAGAAAGCAAGGAGGTAGACATTACAGATTTTTTCTAATATTCCTTTAAATTGTTTTCATTGGGTAGAGAGATTAGTTTTATTCTATATAGCACTAGACACTAGAACGAGGATCAGTGAATAAAAATAAAAATTTCAACCTACAATTCAGTGGGACTTTCTAAGAATTTGAGCCAGCCAAAAGTATAATGGGGCACCTTGTGAGATAGTGAAGTATTTAAGAAGTTGTATAACAACACGTCCAAGATGTTGTATGTTTGGATTAGATGACCTCTTTAGCTCACTTCCAAAGTAAGATTCTATACTTCTGTATCACACCCTACATTGCTCTTGCATATACATCTATAGGATAATGACATAATTTGTTTGTTGATTTCACAGGGAACGGAACAAGACCCACGTTGTCAGTTTCTTTCAGACTGATCTCAGTGGCTACCTTCCCCAGAATGTGGTGAACTCCTTTTTCCCTCACAGTATGGCTGAATTTTACAATAATCTCCAAAAAGCAGTGAACAAACTTCAAGAATGACACTATTCTCCATGGAAAAACATCCTGTTTAACCCATTCATGAACTGGAGTTGCTGGGATACAAGTGACATGGTGAACAGCAGAACTCTAATTGCATTATAAAAACAAACAAAATAAAAGAGGATGAAGAAGACAAAGATACCCACAGGGATTCTGCTTTCCCTGACACCAGCCATTGATATGTTTCCTTTCCTCCTCTACCTTCACCATAGCTTTCACCATAAAAAGAAAAGGAACCAGATTTTGTAAAGTCATTTAATTAATGAGTTATCTTATCTTTGGCTTTATTGGCGTTTAGTTATGGATGATTCCTGAATATCCTTATGGAAGTAGTTTTGGATTATGAATTAGAGGACACGGGTTCAAACCCTATTTTTGCCACTTGCTATCTGTGTGATGCTTGCATCACCTAACTCCTCTGGGCATCAGTTTCTGGATATTTAAGATATCTTCCAGCTCTAAATGAATGATCCTAAGGATTAAGTCTAGTAGAATTTCACATTTCAGTGATAATTGCCTTAATCAGATTATTTTCATATGTACTGAGGAAATAGAAATTTTTCCTAAGATAGAAGAGAAAAGTTATTTGGGAATATAAGGCAGACAGACCCTACTTTGGCATATTGGGACATCAAGAGGGAACCAAGGATAAAATCTACTTGAATTTCAGATTTACTGGGATTCTACTTTTAGAAACAGATCCTTAGATTTTTGTGTGCAGTGCTTATATTGCTTGCTCTTTCCTCCTTGTATTTTTTAATGGTTGGTTCTTCCTCCCATTTGTAATTACCTTATATCTGTCCTGAACCTTAAGAGGCTTCTACGATATCCTTGAAAGAGCACTGAATCTAGTCGTCTCTGAGGCCACAGCTTCTCTACCTCTCTGAGAGTCCATTTTCTCATTTGCAAAAATAGGAATAATATTATCTGTTTTAATTTAAAGATTCAATGAGAATGTATTTATAAAGTACTTTACAACCTTGAGGTTCTCTACATATAAGATAGTATGAGTATTTTATTGTCTTTTTTTTGTCCAAATCACCAGTTTGCCAACATTCTTATAAAATCTTAAGCTGGAAGAGACCTCAAATGTCTAGTGCAACCCTCCCTGGAGCAGGAATATTCTTGGCAATTACTGGTGGATTCTCTTCTTGAACCAGCTTTGGGGCAGGGAACTCATTACCTTCAGAAGAAGCCCATTCTATTTCTGAGTAGCTCTAATTGTGAAGAAGTTTTTTGTTTTGTTTTTACTCTGTGCTGACTTTTGCCTTTCAGCAACTCTGGAATGTTGTTCTGATCTTCCAAGGAAATAGTCATATCCCATGTCTCACGTTTTTTTGTCATCTACAAATGTTATCAATCCACTTGTTTTTTGTCCATTGCCAACTTCTGTAGAAAGTTATTTATGTTTAATTCTGATATATTATTATCCATTATTTGAGTCTAACCCTTAGCCTAATTGTGCAACCCCTGAAGAGTTGTGTGATCTAGGCCATATTTGTAAGATGTATTCTGTATAGCAGAATAACACATCCTGTTAAAATATGGTCTCAGCTGAACTTGAAAATCAATTACAAAGTGTTATCTTATTCATACGACTACCTGGTCCAAAAAATTAAATGCCATTACCTAGACTATGAGACTATTATAATAGTTAAAATGGAGAAGAAAGATTTAAGGGTAATGGAAAATAGTAGCCATCTTCAGGTATTTCAAACTGTGGGCACATGGAGGAGGATTTAGACTCATTCAGCATGCACCAGAAGTAATTGTCCCAATGGGTAGAAGTTGCAAAAAGGTGAAATTTATTAACAATTAGAGCTGCCCAAAGATGGAACAAGGTGCCCTGGGAAGTGCTGTGCACCTTTCTGTAGAAGGCTTCAAGCACAAGCTGGATGCCTACTTGGGGTATGTTGGAGGGGGTATTCTTGTTCAGGTTTGGAGTGGACTAGGTATGACCTCTGAGGAACCTTTCAACCTAGAGTCTGTAATATAAAATTTAGGTTAAAAAGGAATAAGTACTGGACTTATGATTTCATTGATATGGGGAACTTCCAGGTGAGGAAATATCTTTTACCAACAAAATTCTACTACTTCTTAGCAATTTATAGTCTTAAGAGAGTTGCCTAGGGCACTGAGAGGTTAAATGAATTGTCCAAGACTACACGGTCAGTTTATGTCACAGGCAGAACTTAAATCCAGGTCTTGGCTGGCTTTAATGCCAGCTCTCTGTAAATTATGCCACACTGCCTCTTTGGGTTAGTAACAAAGCAATATTCCAAATCATCACATGCCTATCATCTAGAAGAGTAGGTGTAGAAGGTGGGGAAGGTTTTAAGTAACTGGTGTGATTCCTAACTAGTTGGTCTAATCAAGATTATGAGTACTATGAGTCTAACACAGATTATGAGTATTATTAGCTTTGCTGAGGGGAACAGGCTGGAGAAAGAATGTGGACTGAAGAAACTTGGTCTGACTCAATGTGTGTCTGTAATAGAGCTCAAGTCTTTCACTTTTGTTTTAAGGAGCTGAGAGTTGAATGATCATCTGCCTTTCCCCATGTCTTCACTTGACAGTGATAGTTGCTTAATCTAAGCATTTCCAGGGTGAAGAGTATGGATAACTATGGAAGCTGATGTTTGTATCATTAAAATGCTACTTTTGTTCATTGTGATTCTGTATTTTTTTTTTCTTTCATTGGCACTGTAGTCAACCATGGAGATCACTGAAGCACAAATCCCTGGGCACTCCACTGGAGACTTCTCTTCAGGCTGACATCAAACCATGAATCTTTGCACTTGAGTTCCTTCCTTGGAATCCGTCTAACTGTCAGATCACTTAACTGACATTTCTTCATTGTATCCACAAGGAAAGTATGAGAAACAGGATCAAATGTTGGAGGGGAATGGAAACAATCTCCTTGGCTATCAGTTTAGCAAAGTCATTCATAGGCTACTATATGGCAGGCTCAGAGATTGTTTGGTACCCCTGTCTGTAGTAAACAAATGTAATAATAACCTTGTCAAAAAAAGGAAAGAAAGCGTGTGTGGCACGACCAGTTCTTGGTAAAGATCTGTGCTGTATCCCTGCGACCCTTCCAAAAATATGGTCAAGAATTCTGTTGGGGATTGAAGTCAAGTTCACTGGCGTATTATCTCTATGCTTCATTCTCTTCCTATTGTGACATTTGCCTTTCTTTTGTTCCAAAGTACTTCTATCTGCAAGTTCTTTCAGGATGCTGGGTTATCACACTTAATACCCACAACAATCGTGGGAGATACATACTGTAAGGGTTCATTCACAGTTAGTTAGAAAGATCAACTTTTCAGGGGTCACTTGGCTAATATTGGATCTGCCTGGTGGGTGTCTTTTATAACCATATCACGCCTTCTCCCCCTCCCTATCATCAGCATAATAGTAGTAGCAGTAGTAGTAGTCGTTGTCATCGTGTTGGCATTTATATAGCATTTTAAGAATTGCAAAGCACTTTTATCTTATTTGATCCTCACAAAAATCCTGAGGGTTAGATTCTATTATTCCTCTTTTGTAAATGAGGAAACTGAGGCAGGCAGAAGTTAAGTGACGCCTAGGATCACACAGCTAGTAAGTGTCTAAGGCAGGATTTGAACTCAGACCTTCATGACTGAGTTTAGCACCCTGTCCATTGCCACCTAACTACCCAAGTCAGTTGTCAAGATTGGGATAGAAACCCAGCCCTCCAGAGCAGACAAAGTTAATGTTACAGGAACTGACATAAAGTACTCTGAGATCACTGAATAAAGGTACTAGAGAAATACAATATATTACTTTTAGCACATATACACACACACATACACACATATATATGCACAATACACACATGTAGATATATACCCATACATATGTGTGTTAGCCCCTTCTCTCTTTCCCCCAATGATTCTTTTCAGATACATAAAGTCTTAAATCATATGAATCAGGTCCACCTCTATACAAAAGCCTGCCATCTAGCAATCCCCATTTCCTCTTTTCACTCATCACATAAAAATTCCCTGATGTGCTTAGGAAATCCCCTACCCATTGGTACCAATTCTATCTTCCAAAGTTACACAACCCCCACTTCCTCCCCAACCCCAAGTTTCCCATTGCTTTCCCTGGCCCAATTAAAACAATTTTAATCAGAAAATGGCTTTTGAGGTGAATTAAATTCACCTATCTTTATTATATCATTGTATCACCAATATGATCTCTATTTGATCTCTATGTATGTATATTCTTTTTACAAAGTCTACACAGTTTTTATGATCCGCTGTTGCAGAATATTAAGATTCTGGAGGCAGTCGTGGATCTTTATTTTCTGGACAACCTGCTGTTGGATGATGTCCCAGAAAGTTGATGATATCCAGCAATTGCCGGAGTGAAGCAGCTGGACTTTCCCAACATCTGCACAGTGGGAGAAGAGGTCCTGAGAGAGAGCAATTTAAGGGAGGGAGATGTTGGTTGCTTCTGGGCTGCAACTGTCAGTCCTTCCCCTGAGACTGTTCAGAAGATTTGGCCAGGGAGGGATGGAGGCCTTTTCTCCTGATGACAGCCGTGACGGGCCCATCAGGTAAAGACTTGATAACGTTCCAGGCTTCAAAACGAGTAAGTCCCTGCATTGTGGTAGTGTTGAGCTGCAATATTTCATCTCCCGGCTGGACTGCATCACCTTGTTCTGAAGCTACCCCTGGGAATAGGGAAGAAGAGTTGATGGGGAGAGGTTATTCTGCTATTTTACTTGGAGAGAAAAGCAACCAAGAGAATAAATACTTGCCTCAAAGATGCCAGGGAATGTCTAAAAAATCAGACAGCAGAACAACTAGAAATTTTCCCATTAAACTAAATGCGTGCTAAGACAACTCGGAGATTTTCAGGATTATTCAGAAATTGGACTAACACATTTCCTAGTGTTTTTGCCAGATGGGAAAATGCTCCATTGGACTGAGAGCAGAGATTCTTTTGCTTTTCCTTGTGTCCCCAGGGCTTAGCACAATGCCCGGCACATAAGTGTTCTTGTTGAGCCGTAGCTGACTCTTCATGACCCCATCTGGGGTTTTCTCGCAAAGATACTGGGAATGGTTTGCCATTTCCTCTCCAGCTCATTTTACAGATGAGGAAACTGAGGCAAGCAGGATGAAGTGACTTGCCCAGGGTCACACAGCTAGTAAATGTCTGAGGCCAGATTTGAACTGGGGAAGATGAGTCTTCCTGACTCCAGGCCCAGAACTCTATCCACTGTGCCACCTAGCTTCCCCTGACATGCAGTAGGCATTTAATGGATGTTTATTGATGGACTGATGGCCTGAGTAAAAATGCAATTTTCCACACTTCTGAAGCCTGAGTATGCCTTGATTAAGGCAGCCTCCTGGCCAAAGGGTGTGTTTAGGAGACAGGGAGGTTTTTAGGTACTCCCAGGCTCCCAGTAGTGTCAGGGGAACTGGATACCCTGAAGTGGATTAAAAATCTGGAAAACTGTGAAGACACCCTCCTTCTGCTTACAGAAGTGCTCTCTTGCTACTTAGAATATTCCAGGTACCTCTGAGGCCTAGGGACAAGGAGACATGGGGGAGGGGCTTCGTTCAAAGTCACACAAGGTGATGGTATTCATAGAAACATTCTCAGGTATACCTCCCAGACCCACGCTCATGGAAACCACACAGTGCAGTGAAAAGAGCAGAAAAGGTCAGAAATCAGGAGACCTAAATTCAAATCCCAGTCCTTTCATTTACTAGACGTGGGAGAGACCTTGGGCAAGTCACTTCCGTCTCTGCCGCAGTCTCTACATCTATCAAATAAGAAAGTGAGACAAGATGATTTCAAAGTTCTCTTCCATATCAAATATTCTATGACTGACTGCCCCTCAAAGTCAGTAAATCAATCATAATTTATTAAGTGCTTGCTATGTGTCCAACAATGTCCTAAAGACCAGGGACACAAAGAGAGACAAGCCATAGTATCTGTTCTTCAGGAGCTCACATTCTAATAGGCGAGACAACAGTAAAGAAATATGTACATATACACACATTCAGTATAAATGGAAAGTAATCTCAGAGTGGGGAAGAGAGGGACTGTGAAAGGCCTCTCACAAGAAGGTGGGATTCAGAGGCAGCTAGGTGGCGCAGTGGATAGAGCACCGGCCCTGAAGTCAGGAGGACCTGAGTTCAAATCCAGCCCCAGACCAAACACTTGACACTTACTAGCTGTGTGACCCTGGGCAAGTCACTTAGCCCCAACTGCCTAAAAATAAAAAAAAAAAATTAAAAAAGAAGGTGGGATTGAAGCCCAGTCTTGAAGGGAGCCAGCAATCAGAAGAGACTAGGAATAACATTCCAGACATGGGGAACAGTGAGTACAAAGATGCAGAATCTGATGGTGGAGGACCAGGTGTGAGGAATAGCAAGCAGGCCAATTACAGAGTAATTTTTAAGAAGCCAGGAAAGGTAAGGAGGGACCAGGTTACCAAGAGCTTTAAATACCAAATGGAGGAGTTCCTTAGATCAATTTACATAGGCCTGGAGGCCATGGAAATTTATTTATTTAATATTGGACAAGTCTTTACAGATTTGCCTGAGGCACAGAGTAGATAAGTGGCTTGCTCCGGCTGAGATAGCTAAAAAGTATGAAAGGTGAGATTTGAACCCAGATTTTTCTGATTTGAGGTTCAGCATTCTATCTGCTATGCCATGCTACTTCTCAGATGCAGTATAGTCCATGTGAAATATTGACGGCCTGAAAAATATTAAATGATTTCAGAGAGTTTTTTCACATGCCTCCAGGGAGAAAGATTGATACCCTACTAGTTTCATACCTTTGAAAATTCTGTTAACTGATATGGGCTTATCTCCATGAATTGAGCCCTTTCCTCCTTCCAGACTGAATCCTAAACCGGCAGATGTCTTTTCGAGAGTTACAGTACAGATGGTAACTTCAGTTGCTGGGGAAAAACAGAAGGTCACGTAAGGGAAGTTTACTCTTCGGCCTATTTGGTGAGACATCGTTGGCAAAAAATCAAGCAGCTGTTGTGCATATTTACTGACCAGCATACTCCCTTCGCTGAGTCTGCCACCATTTTGACAAAAGTAGCCCCACTTATAATGGCACTAACTTCCTCAAGTGGGAGGCTAGCGGTTGGGTGTGTACTGCCGGGGAATGAGACAACCTCTGAATCTCTATTTCCACCCACTCTTCCCAGGCACAGAAGGCTGAGGCTTCAGCCAGAGGGCTCTTTGCCCTTGGCTCTCAGACTCTGATGGACAGCCTAAGCACTTCTTGCATCTCTACTTGAAGAGGAGTCCTGTCTCCTCTGATATTCAAGAACCAGTTATTAGCCTCATAATTTGCTCCACTCAGTACTAGCTGTACTACCCCACCCCACCCAAGCTCCTGCACCTACCCTGACCTCTAGTTTCTTAGAGAGGCAGTGTAATATAATGGCAAGAATGTGGGACTTAGAACTAGGAGATGTGGGTTCACATCCTAGTTCATTTATTTGATAGCTGAATGACTTTGGACAAATCATTTAATTGCACAGAGCCTGTATTTTCTTTCTTTTATTAAAAAAAATGTTCTCTCGATGCCTTTTGTCTTTATATCTCAGTCATTTCAACGCTACCCCCTCCTCCACGTTGAATCCTCCCTTATAACAGAAAAAAACAAGTA